CCCGCGACGGGAGAGGCCACAGCAGGGAGAGGCCCGCGGACCGCGCCAAAAAAAAAAAAGTCAAATTACAGTGAAAGTGGAGATCGCAAAATGGTGAGCCTTTCTCATGCCTGGCGGACACCCCCTGCAACCATTTCATTTGGAGATGAGCGCACAGGAGGGTGACATGAGAGCATCTCACTAAAGCTCTGGGGACTCTGGAATGATCCTGGGTTAGTTAATCTCCAAAGAAAACCTCTCAGCCTATTTTCCATCACTATCCAAGCAACCCGGAAAAAATTAATTTGAATGAAGTTATTATTTTCCTATAATGACTGTATAAAAAGACATATGTTTCGAAGAAACTGGCCTTGAACGTGATTATGTGCCTCCTGATTAGAGAAAAATAACTGGGTCTAAGTGACAGTCCCGACACACAGAGAAGACTTTTCAGAAAACATGTCGCTGAATCAAAGCTACGTTAAGCAATGTCACTTTGATTTCTCTCCTCCCCGTCTTGTGCCAGTGGCATGCTCAGCCCATCACATCTAGCTCGCTTTAAAAGGAAACCACTGGAACACCATGTCCATTACTTTGTGATAATCTAAGTCTTCTTTAAGAACAGATTTGTTTGGATTTTAAGGGATTGGGAAAAGCGGATTCACGTGATTTCCACAGTGGCCTGTCTTCAGCCCGCTGCCATCTCCTAGTCCACCCTCCAGGACTGCGGGAGAAGAGGTGGTAGAAAAGGCCAGCGTGGCCGTGCAGACTGGCTGTGCTTCTGTAGAGAAGGTCAAGGTCTCTCCCCCGCTCCTTGCCGGCATCTGGCTCTTCCTTTCAGCATCCTTTAAGGGACTGCTCAGAGACAGGCATTCACACCCTAAACACCTGTGAGAGATGACTGGGCCAGCCAGACGCATAGTCCTTGTTTTCTCATGTTCACCTGTTACCTCATTCCCTCTCTTTCTCACTATACTTGCCAAAATTCAACCTCAGGCACAGATGGTGTGAAAATGATTTTTGCCTGCCGAGCCAAAGAAAGTGCCCAAATATTAGCGGGTATTTATCTAGAAACAGAACCTGAGACTTAACGGAAGAGAAGGACTTGGATTTCCAACACCAATGTCTAAACTGGGGAAGAATTTCATTGATTTAAAACAAATTGCTTCCAAGTGCACTGAGTTGTTGTTATGCGTATAAAGGTTCAGTATGCTTATGCCTTGGTCATTCAGGATGTCAAGTCCAGCGTTAGATTATAAATAGTCTCTGTTACAAGCGGTTGCCTCTGCCTTCTAATTTGTAGCAGTATTCTCTTCATCTCTTAGCCCTCACCCACCTCCGGGATTCACAGATATCCAGGTCTCCAAATGGATACCTTTTAAAAGAGTCTGAAGAGCCCTGAGGTTGGCAAACCGCTGCTTCAGCGCTCCCCATACTGAATGTTATTTCTACAGCCTGAAAGAGTTTGGCGGGGTACAAGTTTGGTTCTGATTACATAATTATGCTACAGAAGTATGAAAAAAAATCATCACTATAACCCTCCAGGTGCTTAAACAGTTTGATAGACTGTAGCCATTCTGCCAGCAGCGCCCCCAGCTGTGTTGCTTAGCAACATTTTAATTCCAGAAGAATCGAAGGAGATGCAATCCCTGTGGAGAGGGAAACAGAAATAAGAGGGCTGTTGACAGATGATCTGAGTTGTTTCTTCTAATATACTGTGAAGATCACGAGCTCTTTTCATGAATGATAAATGGACTGTACACAGATCAATGGGTTCAGCAATAAACTGGGACCAGGCTCCATATCTAAGGCACACAGGCCAAGAGGCCCAGAGATTCCCTCATTTCGATGATTCGGTGTGTGTTTTCTTAAAGGTTCCACGGGGGGAAATTGATCCAAGCCATCGGTCAGCCCTTGCCCTTTTGTGGTATCTGCTAATAAAAATGATTTTAGAAATGGATACTTTGGCCTTTCTATCACTGGGCAGGTGCAGCCAGGGGGCCGGAGCAATGCAGGGTAAACGGTTTCCCACCAGAGATCTAAAAATCCCCAGATGTGCCCGTGACCATTCCCTCTGTGTCTGCCTCCACACCCTGTCATAAGCCAAGCAGGTGCACACGGAGGAGGGAGATGAGATATTTCTGAAATATTGAGAATGGCCAATTATATGAATTATATGAATACTTATCTCTGCGCCAATCACGATGAGCTCCTTTAGTGTAAGGGATTTAAGCTCTAATTGGTTGGTATTATCTGGAGGTAGGAAAATATTACATATTCACATAATTAGAGGGAAGGACTTTGCTGAATCACAGACATATAAACATACAGACAGACACAGAGAGCTTATAGTTTTAATTCTAAAATTTCAGACATAAGTCAAGCATATACAAAGTTCACACGTCCATTTTAAAGACCTGGTCTCTTCTCAGTGGGTATACATTCTCAATTTATTTGAGCTCAAAATACACTCACAAAAAAGAACAGTAAACCAGATTCTCTGTCTTCTTTCACCCAACGGAGACAAGGTCTCGATAAATCATCAGTCCCTTTCTAGTGATCAACAGATGGTCAGCCCAAATAGAAAGGAGAACCATACAGGAAACTTAGGGGAGTCATGAGGAAGGATGGAGTTGAGTCTTATCTCAGAATGTGGATGGCAGTGTGGTCCTTTGAAATTAGCCATTTTCCAGAACGTGAAAGGATGGAGTGGGAGTGGGGGAGTTCTTAATGATGGCTGGTTTTCATTTCACCTTAGGGGAGTCATGAGGAAGGATGGAGTTGAGTCTTATCTCAGAATGTGGATGGCAGTGTGGTCCTTTGAAATTAGCCATTTTCCAGAACGTGAAAGGATGGAGTGGGAGTGGGGGAGTTCTTAATGATGGCTGGTTTTCACAAGCACAGGGCTCAGGTTAAAAAAAAAGGAAAATTGGAGGAAAAGTGGAGAGAGGAGGATGGGGTTACGAACCTAAGGGCCCACTCTCACAGGCACTGCTGAATTTCCCAGGCAGCCCTGGCAGTGCCCGCCTGTGTCTGAAAGCTGCACTTGGGCCAGTAACCACGCTCCCCGGGAGAGGAAAATTGCTTTCTGGGTCTCCGGTCTGCTTATCTCCAGCAGCCTGCCTTGGTTAGCTCCTCACGTTTCTGAAGAGCATTTTATATTGCTTATTGTTTTGGTAACCAGTTGCAAAGATTATGCCTGCTAATGTTGTCTAATTGCATTTTTTTCTTCTGTTCACAGGCTGTTGAAAAGGCAAAATCTAAGAATAATCCTGTAAAGTAAGTTATTTTTTTTTTATTAGTTGGAAGTGTTCATTTGAATGTACTCCAGGCATGTGAAAAAAGAAGGTCATAAAAGAGACCTTGATTTTGAGTTCATCTCTATTCATGAAAATTTAAAAACAAAACCAAAAACAAAACAAGCAGGAAAAAAAAAAAAAAAAAAAAACCCCCCAATGAGCAGGGACCAGCTTTTTGATTTTTCCTGTGGTCCTGATGAGGAAGTGCTCCAAGTTATGCCCAGTTTACATAAATTAATATGTGCCGTCCATGAATAGCTGCCAAATACTATTATAATCATATTCGATGCAGGGTACTTCAAGCCTTTGGGTTTTGCACATGCTAAAAAGATTACATTTTTAATTGCAAACCTTGGACCTGTGACAGAGACGTAAATGGCTGAAAATGTGCCAAGTGATTTCCAGCCACGTGGGGAGGTTTGGCACCTCAGCATCAAGGCCTCGCTACTCTGTTAATGAAAAGCTCATAAAAATATATTTAACTGAAGGTTTCTCTAGCTAACAGAGAGCTATTTCCAAGGCATTTTATGAGACACTCTTAAATTATAAACAAGCCGCACAACACTCTTTTAAATATAGCACATCTTAGACAGCCTGTCTCTTCCAGAAGGGAGACTTTCAAATTAAAGACGGCTGTCTTGTCATCTGGGTTTGTGACATCTGATTGCAGTGTTATGATGCATACCAGTTCCACCAGCCGTGTGGCCTAGGGAAGATCTGCTCTATTTGCCGGGTTACTACAGGTCTGGTAATATCACATCTCTAGGAACTATGTGTTAACTTATGTCAGCCGACTTCCGTTAGGGTGGATAACAAATGCAGAAATGGGGAGTGCATTGATTTGTTTTTTAATCTGTATCTTTTAATATAAAGTGTGTCTCCTGTAGATGGCATGTAGTCAAATCTTGTTTCCCCCCGCCCCGCCCCAGCCTTACGGTCTCTTCCTTTTGACTGGATTGTTAAATCCATTCACATTTAATGTTATTATTGATAGAGTTGGATATATATGGTTAGTTATACAGTTGTCTAGTTGGGACTGCATTGATTTTTAATAGTTTCTGGGAGAATGGTTCAGCTAATGCCAGTGACAAGAAGGCTGCTTGTGTTTTATAAAATAATTAACTTTTCCAAGTCACCAGGGTAGTGTTTAGCACACCATTAAATCCAAGCTCCAGTTCACCTTTCCAAAAGGTTTTGTGTACTTTGTTTCTACATTTCATTTTCTTAGGCCATGGAATATTCCTTATCAGCCTCCTGTAGCCTCTGGAGGGCTATCCGTGGTCTGGAGATGTATTATGCTATAGTCGTCCTATGGGAGCATTTTTAGTAGCGGAATTTTGGTCTGGTTGTTTGGTTGCGGTTGAAACCTTCTCTGCAGCCTGATTTCTTTTCTGTCTTTGCCCGGAAGGCTTCTCTGCTGCGAGCCCATGGCAGGCAAGCGCCATGGATTAGAGGATGGTGCTAATGAGGCCAAGGCCAGGCCTTGAGTCCCTGGGTGGGCCATTAGTGATCTTCCTTCCCATAGTCCGACTGCGCCCCTCCCTCCAGTCCACCCGCGGGCAGATGCATGCCCCGGGTCACAAGGGATGGGGCAGAGGCTGGCGGAGTGTAAATCTGGCCCTCAGTGGGACAGACATCTCCAAGTTCAAGCCCTCCCGATAGGAAGTGAGTCCCAAGCTCCATCTTTGCGTGCACAAGACAGCCTATGGGCAGTGTGCGGGGCTTCGTTAAATCGTACTGATGGCCTGGAAGTGGGACCAGTTTTCTGTCTGCTCCTTGTGAGAATTCGACCCTACAGATAATTATATTTTTTATGAGCTCTGGCTAATTCACAGTACAGACTGTATCGAATGTCTAGCGCTTTAAGGAATGTTGTAACGAGAAAACAGAAAAACTAGAAGAGCCAAAGGGTTACTAATAGAATGTGGGACAATGTTTTACTCTTTAGTGTATTTGAAGATCTGTCCAGTGACCAACCTAAGTCACAACCAGCTGGGAGGTGTTGAGAACTGTCTTGCAATTAAATAAGATACCGCTGTCAGCGTGAGTTTGCGTGTCCTGTTGCATTTGGTACCTAATACCTGATACCGAACTCAGTTGCCCAGCCACAGCCATCTGGGTACTTTAAGAAGACAGCCTTCTTCAAGACCTCAGCTCAGGGACAGGAATTTCAGAGCACGGCTCAGTTAAACTGCCTGACAGCAGAGCAGAAGCGAAGTTTTTAAAAGTTTTATGTATAGTGGTCCTCTTTCCGTTTCTGATGTCTGCCAGAGAATTTCAGTTACACACAGTGCACTGCGATCCCAAGGAGAGTCAGCGTTTGTTACGTGTTTTCTGAATGAACGCACAAGTAAACAAATTGGACACATCCCAGAAAGCACTCCTTTCAGGAACCTGGCCTGGAGGCTTAATAAGACTGGTACCCTACCCTAGTAGAGTGTCGGGGCCAAAGGGTTCGCGTGTTGTAACTGACCAAGGCGTCCATTCTCTTCTTCTGATTCATGCCACGTGTAAAATGTTCCTACGTTGCTCTGGTTCATACTAACAACTGCTTTGCCTCTGACCAGTTATTGGCTTGATCTTGTATATGAGGATTAACGTGTGATTGTTTGGGCATGCAATGAAAAGTGTGTACAGCCCTTGCTGGAAAAGTAGAGGTCTGGAGGCATCATTTACAACTCAAGTATGAACACAGATTGGTGAAGGTGATCATTGTGTGGGATTGGATGTCATCCTCTGGGGCAGAGTTTGGCAACTGGTTGGGGAAAAAAAGCAAAAGAAGACTGTTACATGACATGTGAAAATTATACGAAATTCAAATTTCAGTGTCCATAAAAGAAGTTTTATTGGCACACAGCTACACTCGTTTGTTTCAGTATCGCCTGTGGCTCCTTCTGTGCTACAGTGGCAGAGTTGAGACTGTACACACCACTAAACCAAAAATATTTACTATCTGGCCCCTTACAGAAGAAGTCTGCTGACCCCTGCTCTGGTTGGTCAGGTAGGAAAAGGTGCAGATGTAAACTTTTCCATGACAGTGAAGGTTAAACTATGAACCCTTTCTCTTTCTGTCCTCTAAAACACTGAGTAGGTATTTACTGAGCCCTTTATCTTGTGTTCCGGACTTTCTGGGCCTGAGGTATCACCTAATCCTTACTCGGAGCACAGAGACCATTCTGAATTCAGGATCATTGAAAATCGTTATGGATGTGAGGTCCATTGACAGAGCAGTGATGCCTCAGAAACCCGTAAACACATAACTAGAGCATGTTGGTAGTCTTCCAAGTTGTGTGTAGATGGATGTGTTGCAAATGGCATATACATTTTCTAAAATTCTGTTACTTCCCAAGATCTAACTAAGGCTAATTAAGCTTTCAATTCAAGTGAGGGTAAATGATTCCCAGTGTTATGTACTTTGGATATTTTCTTCTCTAAAGGTTCGCCTCCCCCCTCCCTATTTCTCAACGAACCACTTGCTTAATTTATTTTTAATACCTTCATGGTTGTAAGCTTCTTTCATCACCGTAGGGAGACGGTGGTACACATTAATTACACTCCATACAAAGGAGAAATTAAATATATGCTTAGTGAATGTAAGCACATAATGTACCTGGATACACTAACGATTTTACCTTGAAACATTCAATATTACCTCTGAGGATAAGAATCAAAATTGTACCTTCTTAAGATCAGTGATTAGGACAAGAGATACTGGTGTACCTATCAGTCAATTGGAACCATGCCCGTATCAAAGCTTGATTAGTATGTTCAAACCGTGCCTCTTTAATGTGTCAGAGAGACTCTCTCTCGCTTGTATATGAACGTTCTGCAGCAATTATCTGCAAGCTTCATTGTGGCAACAAGGCCTGAGAGATGTACAGATTTCTTTTACCATGTGTGACTTATCACAAACATTTTTTAAAAAAACACATTTCTGTTATTAAGACATATGTGATAGTACACTTCTGCAAATGTGAATTGCTTTGGGCTAAAAGCCATGCACTAATAAGTTGAGTCGAATCTAACCGAGGTTGACATCTGTTACCAAAAGGGTGGGCAGCAAGCAGTTATCAAGCATAAAATTCTTCCTTGCGCCTACACGTTAACAACGTTAAGCAACGTGGTGGTTGTCTTTCACAAATCGGGATCCGAATCCACTCTGCTTAGGAAATTACAGCTTTATTTAGGCACTGATCCATCTTATAGATATATGGTGGTTTCATTATTGGAAATGACAAATAGCCACAAAGATTTTCCTGACCACGAGGTTTGTGCATTATTCGTTTATTCATCCAGTGAATATTTATTGAGGATCTCCAGCATTCCAGGAGCTGTGATAGATGCTGAGGGAATTAAAAATAAATCTGACACAGGTCTTACCCTCGAGGAGTTTAGAGTCCAGGAGGAGAGATCAAATCGGTTTGTAAAGAACTAAATACAAGATAGAGAGACATACGTTTGTTAAGTGGGGACAGATAAGGTACAAGGGAAGCTCTCGGGATGGAAAGTGTTTCTAGTTACATCGCTATCGGAGAAGATGGGGGAGAGGGAGCGGAGGAAGAGACGTTAGGACCAGGACTTCAGAGACTGCTGGCTTGAGACACTGGTGCTGGGGTGGCAGACAGTGAAAGGACCGGCTGGAAACTGAGGCTCGGAAGAAATGATGGCCTAGGGCCCTCGGAGCTTATCCACTTAAAAGAAATGAGCTTGGTAGAGTCGGATAACACTGAAGACCTCTACCTTGTTACTGTGGATCGTCAGTTAGTCCACTAGTTATGGAACATAAACAAAGAGCCCATGGACCTGGGGTCTAGTCCTGAATCTAACACTAGCTTGTGGTGTGAAATCGGATATGTTCCTTCCTTGCCACACACCTCAGCTAGATTATTTATATGGTTCTTCCACCTCTTAAACGTAAAACCAAAGCTTCAAATTCTGTTTTATAATGATGCTTATTGGAGGAAATACTTGATGTTAAAGTTTGATGTAGGTGCGTACCAGCCCATACATTATAAACATTGCATATATGATATATGCGTTTACACACACACATGCACACGGGCGCACACACACACACACACACACACACACACACACACA